GTGATGATCAGAGTCTTCTGTTGGAAAGGGACATTTTTGTCCTTGTACAAAATCAGTAGAATAGTACTTGAGACCATGTGAACTTTCTGTTTTCCAGCAACTTTTACCCAATGGTTTTGCTATCCATTGATAATTGGATAAACTAATTATTACATTGGGGCTCGCAAAATGCTGACTATCCTATTCTATCCTGCTTTCTAGATTTATCAAGTGTTCCTCACCAGTTTTTTGTTTGTTTGTTTTCATCACTATAGAGTCATGACATTTTCTTTCCGTGTTTTTGTAATCCATGCCATCATTATTATTTTTGTTTAGAATGCTTTTAAAGGCCCCTTTTGCTATTTTTCTCTTTCCTGAAGATGTTCCTGTGAGATGGAGGGAAAGGGGCATATTTGCTGTCTCCCCGGTGTGATAGATGGGGAAACTAACGCAAGAAATAAATGACTTTTTTCAAGGATGTTTAAGGTCCAGTGTGGTCAGAGATAACAAAGTTAGAATTTTGGTCTGACAGTTTCACTGATCAGTGTCCATGTCACCAGATGTAACTGATGTGAATACCTGCATGCCCTCTTCTTACTCACTATCTACTAGTAAGAGATGAGTTTGGCTAATTTGGCTTTAATTAAATAAACCGCAGTGTATTACAGTGGTGTTTTCTGATTGTTGTTGTTTTTGGTATAGCATCATTCTATGTAAACACAGAGTAGAAACCTGTTATTTTAATAGCTATACAGTACTCCCATGTGAGACTGCNGAGATGGAGGGAAAGGGGCATATTTGCTGTCTCCCCGGGTGTGATAGATGGGGAAACTAACACAAGAAATAAATGACTATTTTTGGGCCGGCCCGGTGGCACACTCAGTAGAGTGCGGCACTTGGGAGTGTGGCAGTGCTCCCGCCGAGGGTTCAGACCCCATATAGAGACCGGTCCGCTCACTGGTTGAGCACAGTGCGGGCGCGATACCGAGGGTTGCGATCCCGTTACCGGTCATGAAAAAAGACAAAAAGGAAAAAAAAAAAGTAGTATCCAGTTTAGTTACAGTTAGCTTTCTCTGGTTTTAGCACCTTGTCCCTCCTGCAGACAAGTAGGGTCTAGAGCACTAATTGTGGCTGGGGTATAGTAACTAAGAGTCACTTGCTCATGGAAAGGGCCACCAACCCAGTAGCCCTTCATCCATAGGGGTTTATGGAAAGGTGGAGGGAATGCAAATCAAGGAAAAGTATGATATTTTGCAATGGGGAACAAAACAAACCCTGGTAAATGATCTACAATAATAATCTTATAATAACCATTCAATAAATGTCTTATAATAACCATT